CTTCTCATCTCATCTACTGATCTTTAACAACTTACAAAATTATATTTGAAAACTTAGTCTCGGTCTTGGTAAAGATCTACCATTTTATTCGATAATAGTTTTTTTTAATAATCATAATTACAATTAACTTAAACATTTGTTAGACACATTTACTTTAGATTTTTCTTAAAGTATGGGTTTGGAATTAGATAAAAAAATTGGCACTTATGATTGTGTTTAGACCATCCTGGAATAAAGTTCAACACAAAAGTCGCAAACCTCTACAATTTTACCACGGAGCTATAGAATAAGTTTCATAGATGAAGCACTGTTTGTGCAACGTCATCTACTTGCACAACTACCCTACCCGCTGTAGCTACTATACAAAAAATATAGAAAACAATATCTCGAATACCTCCGCCATGGCAGGACGGTCAAGCAAACTGTGTGTTTTATTTATTTCCATCTCCGTACCTATCACCACTTTTACGGATATTCCGAATCTTCCGGATGATGGTTCCATAGCCAGCCGAGTCCTTGGTTATACCACGACCCCAAATTATTTCTTATGTCACAGTTCGAAATGTTATTGAAAAAATCGCGGAGCTTTAGGATTAGTTATGGATGGACCACTTTTACGGATGTTCCGGATCTTTCGAGGACCGGTCCATTGTCTCCAGGATCCATATATAGGAACCATGACTGAATCCTGGCTAATTATGAACATTTGTGCCTAACTGGCAACTCTTCCATTTTCTCATACGACTGTTATGAGACCGACACAATCGCGTCATCTGCCGCTCAATGGTAAATGCTTCGAACGATTTGAGCGCAAAGATTACAACCTCATAAGAAAGGTTTGTGTATTTACTAATTTTTCTATGCAGTACTTCCACCTCAACTTCCATCTTTGCTCGAACGCAGCGCTACTGTATCTGTCGCTTGGATTCTGGCAGAGTTGCCAGACTTCTTGATTTGATGTCTTCGTCATACACAGAAAAAAAAGTTGTTGAATATTACATCCAAACTGTTGCAACCAGGTCAATCTATCGGTTGTGTAATATAACGTTGTACGATGTACATCGATTTTGCGAACAAAATTACATCCATTGATGTAATATTGTATCTGCTTTTTGCTATTACATCATAATTTCATACATCAGCTTGAATTACATTGATCGATATTACATTTTTTTTGCTGTGTAAGGTTAAAAGCGATGCAAATTATTTCTTTTCATGAAGCTGGTGGTAGCGTTAGAAAAGGCAAATCTATATGACTATATAATGATAAGGATAATTCTGTTTACAATCTTTAAACGTCAAAAATCAAAGGAATCTATTGAAGAATCAAAGTGACGATTGACTCATAGATGGCGAAATGAGTGAAAATGGTAATGGCGTTTAGGGGGCTCCCTTAGCTCAGTCGGTAAAGGCGCAGCTACAAAGCAAGACCATGCTGGAGGTGGCTGGGTTCAATTCCCGGTCCGGTCTAGGAATTTTTCGGGTTGGAAAATTTCTCGACTTCCCTGGGCATAGAAGTATGATTGGACTTGCCACAAAATTATACCAATGCAAAAATGGTACAGGCATCGAAAGCTCTCAATTAATAACTGTGGAAGTGCATCTAGAACACTAAGTTGAGAGCACGCAATAAGCTAATATGCGATATTCAATAAGCCTGAAATGCGAAGACGAAGAAGAAGGTAATGGCGTTTTGATATCTGTCAAACTGAATGATTTTTTTTGTGCATCATCATTTTTGTAATTGCGGATCTAAAAACTAGGTGTCGCATGACCAGTTTTTGACTCAGTTTTTGCTTTGCTTTGATTCGCTAATTCCAATGAGATATATTTACATGTTTTCCTATAGTGCACACGTAAATGACTGTCCAATAGTTGCTACATGTCTGGTTATACGCGATACATCAACAAACTTTAACCATCGTTAAAAGCAACTCCAATAAAATATACATGATTATCTTATAAGATATATCTCTTAGTGAGCAATATTCATCACGAAAACAGATATATTTTACTGGATTTTCTTATAGTGCAAACTTCTATGAATTTCCATTAGTTTTTAGATAAAGTTCTGTCCAGTTAGTATCCGGAATCACTTATTGTGTTGCAGCGGCACGGAAAGTGACCGCTGCAAGAATTGTTCTACAGCAGTTTGTTAACCTAGGCGCCCACTTTCTGTGGTACAAATTTCACGGTGCTTCGTGCAGGGTGTCAAACATTATTTCAGATGGAAGCCGAAGGGAGAGAAAAAATTCTGCACACCCACGTTGATAATCCAACGTGGTATGCAATAAAAATCGCAAAAACGTTGAAAATCGCCAAATCAACCGTGTATGATGTGCTCAAACGTTTCAGGAAGCGAAAGAGCGTGGATCGAGTGCCTCAAGGTAAGCTTCGTAGTGGAACATATGACCGCAAGCTGAACCAGAAGGAGTTGAGAACCGTCAGAGCAAACCCTGGCCTATCAGATAATGAAAACGCACAAAAATACGGTGTTTCTCGCAGTACCGTTCGAAGAATTCGTTTGCGAGCAGGATATCGTTCTTATCGAGCCAGCAAGCAACCAAACAGAACGTTGAAGCAAAGTTTCGTCACCAAAACTCGAGCTCGGAAGTTTTACCAGCAGGTTTTGACGAAGTACCAAGGATGCCTGCTCATCGGCGATGAAACCTACGTCAAAATGGATTTCGGACAGCTTCCTGGCCAAAAATTCTACATGGCGACGGCACGAGGAGATGTTCCTGCGAAGTTTAAGTTTGCTTTTATGGACAAATTTGCCAAAAAAAAAAAACTGATGATTTGGCAAGGGATATGCAGCTGCGGAGCAAAGACCAAAGTGCCTGCTGGGCAAGAATGCCTCAAAAAACGCGTACTACCTTCCATTACAGCCCATAAAGGTCCCGTGAAGTTTTGGCCAGATTTAGCGAGTTGCCACTACAGCCGGGAAGTCATCCAGTGGTACCGCGATAATAACGTAGATTTCATCGATAAAAACATAAATCCACCCAACTGCCCGCAGTTCCGGCCCATCGAGAGATTTTGGGCAATAATGAAGCGGAAGCTTAAGAAAAGTGGGAAAACGGCTCGGGACGCGATTCAGATGATCAAAATGTGGAACAAATGTGCCAAGGAAGTTGACTCCGGAGGTGTGCAGCGTTTGATGGGAGGAATAAAGAAAAAAGTGCGAATTTTCATTAGAAACGAAGAGAAATGATTTGTATTGATATTTTTTTCCTAAAAAAATTTAGGAATTACATTACTACATTACAGTGAATTACCTTTGTTTTGATGTATTAACCTTATTTGTACGTCAATCCGTTACCGAGACACAGATGATTTTATCATAGAGGTAACTCTAAGACCAGAAGGTCCCGAAGAAACGTTCTCAACTTTTTGGCTCAGCTCTGGTACTCTCTTTGGTCCCAAGTTAATCGATGCACCCCTCGACGCATAGGAAAATCCACGAACCCCTCATTTAATCTGTCAAACATACATAGCGAATCAAAACAAACATAGTGTAGTACTAGAATATATTTTTTCCTTTGGTTTGTTTTTTCCGTCGATCTTGTTTTCCGTGCTGAGCACCAATGCTACCGACGTGCCAGAAAGGCAGCTCCCACACCTGGACCCTACCTATCGACCCATCAACTCATGAACCGGGGACCAACGGCTTTACTTCCCATCCGAAGGAAGGCGTGATCAGAGATGTTATGCCTCAGAACATCCCGGCGGCGCCGACTGGGATTGAACCCAGGCCTACTGGGGTGAGAGGTAATCACGCTTACCACTACTCCACCGGCGCCGTTTCGGATTCTAAATGGACATAGCTTTATCTGTTCCTACCCATGACATATCAACAGGTTTTCGCCATAAAATATATCGGACAATATTTATATACATCTTACCCATCGCTAACCACGTTCGAAGTAAAGGAATGCCATGTACTAAGTACATAGAGGTAACTCTAAGACTAGTTGGTCCCGAAGAAAAGTGCTCAAGTTTTTGGCTCAGCTCTGGTACTATCTTCGGTCCCAAGCTAAAGGGTGTCCACGATGAAATTGCCACACTATGAAATTGCTCTAACTTTTTAACCGTTGGGTAGAATTTAATGAAAATTTGGGTGGATTTAGTTCATAGTGCATTATTTACATCCTGCAAGTGTTAAAGTCCTGTGATCAAAACTCGCGGAAATGGAGTCGAAAGAACAGCTCGTGCGTGATAAAATCTTGCGCATTCATCACGAGAACAAGGATCTCTCGCATCGCAAATTTGCTTGAAAATCACGTTTTTAGCATTATATTTTGAACAATCGTTCAAAAGAATACTTTTATCATTTTTCCACGATCGCAACTGGCCAATCCAATATTTTGCAGATTAATGCTATTATGTTTAGAGTATTGGAAAATATATATCATATGAGATTTGAAAACAATACATTGTCTAAAAAACGTGCAAGTGAACGCAAAATGTCATCAATTATTAAAAATGTGCACCAAATACATTTTAATTCTTTATAATATCTCATTATAATTGCTAGATTTAATTCCTGACCCACTGTACACTGTATAGAATAAAACGGAATGTTCCAAAAACAGCATTCCGTTTATAGTGGGTTCAGCTACAACAATAGCAACAGGACTGACTCAAACTATCATTACTTCATATAAAAGCTGACAACTGACACAGTTCTTCAACCTTAGTTTATGGAAAGGAAAAAAGTCCTAAACAAAAACTTTACGACTATGTCATACAACAACACTACTTTGCTTCTGATATGCAGCAACAACAAAAAAGTGCTGCTATCATCAAACACGACCCACACGAGCTATGCGCTAGTTCTGTGCCGGCGTCGATCTACGTGACATCCAAAAAATTTACTAGATAACAGCACCTCTAGCTCACATTCTGGGGCGTGATCATTTGATCAAATAATGGTCAGACCAAGTTTATTAAAACCACCGATCTAAACTGAAACCCAGACTAGTCAATGGTTTTGCAAGATGAAGAATTCGATGTTGGTGTTGTGTTTGGTGATGATGTTAGCCAGTTGGCTGTCGGAAGCAAAGGTGATATTCAATAATTGGAATAAAGTGCCTAAGTGCTTAAGAAAAATTTAATACTCGTTCCATAGCCTCAAGGATGCACTAACTGTGGATCTAGCCATGGAGAAGTAACTGAGCGGTGCTGCAATGATTGTGAACTATGTCGTGTGAGTTTCAGTATCGAAAAGCCTACCGATCCGGAGTGTCCTCGACCGAAGAACTACTCGTACAACGTGCAACACATCAATCCCCACTGCCAGGAGGAAAAGTACGAAACATGGGATGCACATGTGGAAAAGCCTAAGGATCCAGCATGTCCCAAGAAGCTCAAGCTATCCGCACGAGTTGAACACAACACGAGAGGTAAACGATCAGTGAAATTTACCGAATGCTGAAACTAACGTTAGAATTACTTTCAGATTGCGAATGTCCTACTTGTTGGTATGGAAATTTTTCAAACATAGTTTATAATAATACAGCTGATGCAGAACACGACTGCACCAATAAGAGCAGTCATCATACGCTCAAACAGAATAAGTTTTATGAATTTCGCTCCCGTGGAAACTCGATACGTGAGGAATTTATTTTTGATCATTGTTTTCCTCGAAAACGACACAAAAGATTATCACTAAGCTCAACACCAATCAATTGCAATGATTTGGTTAAGCAGGGCTACATTTGCCGTTGTGTTCCAGACGACGGGACGGGCTGTATCAATAAAAGTCAAGATGGGGAACCAATGGTGGGTTCAATATTCAACCCGACCTTCAAAGAACCAGAGGTTTACGTTGGCGGGAGTAAACCTCCTTCGTACGATGTGATACGTCAGCATATAACTCCAATTCTAGCAGCTCACGAAGGAGTATCAGCTATTCAAGAAGCTAAAGATCTTGCAGAGATCTACTATAAAATTTACCAACGACATCATGAAAAAAATCTTACTATTCCGATCAAATATGGCACCCGAACTGTTGAAACGGAAGATAATGGGCTTCGAACCTACGATATCGAACCAGTCGAGGGCCAGTACGACCCTTCAGCACTCGATATGTTTAGTAGTGTTAGTAATAACCTTTTTGGGGAGATCATAGATCGAGTCAAGCAAGGGCCAAGATTTGGTCTGTTTCCATTTCGAACATTAAGACACTCGAAGCGATCTCAGCGAAATTCAAAACGAAAAGAGCGTCAAGTTAGAGATAAAACATGATTGCAAACCAATAAACTTAACAGAAAAAATCTACTTCTTGATCTAGAAATGAACATGAGCGTGATGAATGGCTTATATTGGTTTAGTGTCGTTCTGCTTTTGAGACAGACACATACATCTCATATCACTTTACCTGCTTTATATTTTAGATAATTTACAGAAATGTGAAAAACACGACCCGATACAACTCACTGACGGACGTTCTGACTTCTACTGCACAGAGCTTATTTGTTCGAATGACATCGATACATGACTGTTATTGAAAATGAATAAAATGTTAAGCTTTCAACAACCGAAAATCTTGTTTTTATTTTGGGTAGATACATCTAGATTCTATAATCTACGGGTAAATCCAATGATATGACTACACTGTATGTAGCTTCGACTAATTTCGCTATTGAAAATGTTATTCGGAATTATGAAATCATTAGATGTTAGAATGTTATTTTGTAGTATAGGTACCGTATGCGTGATAATGTTTCCACCATTGAGCAATGCCAAAATTAAAAAAAAATCTCAAAAATTTTTATTTATTCAAAGGGGGATGTTTCTCAGAGTCTTAAACTATGTTAATCATCGATCGAGTTTCCACTTGCTGCAATTACGACCTCCACACGCTTCCGGAATGCACGGCAGGTTCTAATAATGTAGTCTGGATCCATTTCTCTCCAGGTACGGGTCAATGTTTGTCTGAGGCATGCTGTACTCGGGTGGCGTTTAGAACAGGCCTTGGCCTTCATGACGCGCCATATTCAGTAATCCAGCGGATTAAGATCGGGGCTGGATGGCGGCCACATATCCTTCGCCCAGAACGGAAGATGTTCCTGCAACCACTTCTGAGTGCGGTTCGAGGTGTGGCACGGAGCCTCATCTTGTTGAAATACTACATTTGGCTTCGGACCGTACTGTTCTTTGATCCACGGAAGAACATACTTACTTAAAATCCCGATGTAGACCTCCGTGTTGACCTTGTCGCCTTCTGGAATGAAGACCGGGTCCATTTTTTGCCATCGGAAGCCACCAATCCAAACACCATAACGCTAGCAGGTTGCTTGGTCAGATACACGTTCTTGTGTTCGTCGGCCACGTCTTTTACCGGAAGAGAACTAATATACCGGTTGGTTCTGGAATTTGATACGGGATCGACGGTAAACATGCTCTCGTCGGTGAACAGGATCACCGGATTTTTTCGCTTAAGAAAGTTAAAGATTTTCTTGCATCGTTCGACTCGTAGCTCCCGGATGCGGCTGGTAATCATGTGAGTTTTTTTTTTCCATGCCCTCGACTTCGCCCCGATTCCTTTACGATCTTCCGTGCCGTAAAGTCACTGATCCCGTGTTCCTTTGCCATTTTCCTTATTGAACGCACTGGATTCACCCGATTCTTCCTTTTGATAGCAGCGATAACCCTCGGAACCCGAGCTGACCTCGAACGACCTGTGACCACCTTCGAGGATAGTTGTCCTTTCTTTTCTCGGTCTAAAACCCTTTTGACGGTCCACCGGGACACTCCCACGGCGATTGAAATGCCTTTTTGCGACATTTGAGGGTGGGACAAATCACGAATACGCTGCCACTTTGCCATGGTGCAACTGTCAAACTAAGTAAATCATTTTCTTTTATACACAGCCTACTACGGTTTGCTATATAGGTTACGTGCATGCAAAGAAAACCATGGCATTGTATGCACAGGTTAAACGGGAACCTTATTTGTACGATGGTACACACATTATCACGCATACGGTATACTTCGATATACGTAACAGTCACGCTTGACTTCCGTCTTCAATATCTTGCTTATAACAATAGAATCATACAAATTAATATTACTTACAGATAGGGGATTATCTTATGTGTCTGATGGTGTTACTACTTTGCTCGTTGATCGTTTGCAAGAAATCGGCAATGGAAGTCAACATTGATAGTTACGTTATGTCGAGGCATATCTGTATTTGCAATCAGTGCAACCAGTGATCCCGCATATATTATATTCCTCTATATGCTATATACCTATGTAGTAATACAGATTTTTTTTCAATATTTTGATACAAATATCTGAATATACAGATAACATATTTTAAGAAAAATATACAGATTTTACAGATTCTCCAAATTAAGGGTTTTTCACTAAGCGTTTCCTTTCTTTAAAGTTGAAGAAAACAAACTGTGTGTGAGATATTGACGTGATTTTATTTTTCGATGAAAGGCCTACAAATACCATTATGTATGGAATATGACATCGTTCAAATGGCCACCTCGACTTCGCTTAGTGGCGTGCATCCGAGAGGTAAAATTTTCTATGACTCTGGCGCACAAATCTGGCTGAGTCTCGTTGATGGCTTGAATAATGTTGGCTGTGAGGGCATCGGTGGTTTGCGGCTTATTGGCATAGACCTGCGACTTAACATACCTCACAAGAAAAGGTCTAGCGGGGTTAAATAACACGATCTTAGTTGCCAGTTGACATCACTCATGCATAATATCGATTGTTTCGTGCGCTGTGTGGCAGGTTGTACCGTCCGACACACCAACTGATCATTTGTTAATAATTTTTCACTAAGTTGTTGAAATTTGTTTTTCCATATCGTCCACTTTAGGCCAGAAGAAGTCGGTAATCATCGACCTGTAGCGCTCTCCGTTGACAGTGATGGCCTCGCCAGCGTCGTTTTCGAAGAAGTACTTGAGATGACGCCTCCAGGCCAAAAATGCACACCAAAAAGGTACTTTCTGGGGATGCATTGTCACTTGGTGGACGTCGTGTGGATTGGCCCTGTCCCAAATTCGAAAATTATGTTTGTCCACTTACCCGTTCATCCAGAAATGGGCCTCGTCGCTGAAGAAGATTTTTCGGGCAAAATCGGGGTCTGTTTCCAACTGCTCCAGTTCTTGTGCGCGGCGCGAAAACGACTGCCGTGGGTTCTCCTGCACACTTTCGCGTACATCGGCAATATTCTCGGCAGACCTTGCGTTTCGTTGACGTACGGGTGGTGCTTGAGCGTTCACCGAACCAGTTTCCTCGAATTTGCTCACCACATTGCGAATAGTCCTCTCGGTAGGACGATTATTGCGACTGTAAAATGAGCGAAGCGCTTGGAACGCTGCTCGCAAAGAACGCTTACGTTGATAAAACAATTTTATCATTTGCACTTGTTGTTGGACGCTATTACCATAGAGGTAACTCTAAGACCAGAAGGTCCTGAAGAAACGTGCTCTATTTTTTGGCTCAGCTCTGGTACTAGCTTCGGTCCCAACGTAATCGATGTACCCCTCGAAACATAGGAAAATCCACAAACCCCTCATTTTATCTGTCAAACTTTCATAGCGAATCAAAAAAAACATAGTGTAGTACTAGAATTTCAACTAGAATGGGGTTCCTTTTTCTAAATGTACTTGGGGCGAATAGGCTAGTCAAGTAGTGAGCCAATTTAAAATCGTTAGTTTCCAACCGGTGGTTGTAACTTCAAAAATATGGCCGCATGAACTGTCCAAGTTAGGAAATCTCTTTTGGAAAACCCTTTACTTAAGTGGAATATATGTTATATTCTGTTTTATATTTATTATTTTCGATTAATAATCGTTTCTTCACTTTTTGAGCATCAAACCCAAATCGTATTTTTCACCAAATAAATATTGTTCATCCCATCTACAACAATCGTGACCATAATTTAATCGAACAAAAATTAAATCAATTCATGTGGTAAATTATCCATTCGTTTTTGAATGATATTTTTTCGTTTTTCATGGAGAACATCGACGCGGCAAATGCTGAGACGACAAATACTACCCGAGTAACACACTTTTGCCACAGCAAGTTTCAGCAACCTGTTTATGACTGAAATAAGTCGTATAGAAGTTTAAAAAAATCTATTTGCGACAAGCGTGCTACAAGGGTATACTATACTTAAGTTGATCTATATTATTTTCGCAAAGTTCCTCTTATTCCGTAGAAAATTGTTTACATTGATTTTGGTACTGCACAGATAAAAAAATATGTTGCCGTGTAAAACGATCAACCGCGTAAATTCTGAAGCCCGAGTATAAAATCTGAAATCCGCGTAAAAAAAACCGCGTTAATTCCGAAATCCGCGTAAAAAACCGTGTAAAAAAGCGCGTAAAAAGCGACTCCAGTGTACCAACCAGTCTTGGAACTTCCACTAAATGTGCCTTAAAGTCTCCGGAATTGAATCTCTAAAGATCTGTGACCCCCTCACATCCCTCCCCCTCCTTTCGTTTAAAATTATCCAAGTATACCTTTGTATCATTTAAAACCTCATCCTGATGTTCCCAGGAGTAATTATGAACATAATAATGGCTCCAGAAGGTTTTCAGTCTTGCAGACGAAATGCACTGAACTTGCCTTCCAAGGATCTCCAGGTAAGACCATAGTGAAAATCCATGGAAAATACATAGCAAATCGCAGTCAAACTCATTTTGACAGATCTAATTTCATACATTTTTTAGGTTCGTCAGAGCAAAAAATTAATTCTGATGTGCCAAAAATGAAAAAAAAATTTATCTGCATTACGCTATATACATTATATATTACATGATTATACATAAATTTATAATGTAAATTACAATAAATGCTGGGACGGGAGGGAGCATCAGGGCATTATTGAAGTTGTAACTGGACAATGGAGTGAAGTGTGGAGTCTAGGAGGGAATGTGTACTGTCATTTTAGATAGTTACATTTAACTTCAACAGTTGCAATGAATTTGACGCGCTCTCTGTCGTGACCTGGATTGCCTTCCATCGTAATTATGTTTGGATTTTCGGGGATTTTCGGGAACGAATAAAGTAGAGTTTCAATTTGCTTCCGTACTCTACAAACTCTCTTACAAGACTGATTTTATTACCGATTATTTGTCAATAGCCTACTACGATTTCTATTTCCATCTCGTCATGTCTCGTCTTATCTACTACATCTCTCCTCTAATCTACTCTTAGTCAAAAATATTATACAAATACATATCATGATATTTCTTATAGCGAATTCGTTT